CATGACTTCAGTACTTACAGGAATTCCTCTATTCAATCTGACCTTAATGTGATTGACAACTTGAGATGCCACAATATTACCTCCTACACATCCTCGGATTCCTAACCAGTGGTAAATACATTTTAAACATATCCGCCTGACACAACAACGAACAGTGACAGTATATCTAAAACTGATCCCAGTATATCAAATGAGCTGACAAACACATCTGCTACTGATAATGTCACCCTGGAGAATCCTAACCGCAGTACTGGTATTTGTATGTGGAACATCCATGGCTTGAAATCAAAAGTTAAGTATTCTGAGTTCATAACATTCTGCCAACAGTGTAATATCTTCTGTTTCTTAGAAACAATGTGTACTGATGCATTAGATATCTTGCAAAACATATTTAATGAGTATGATGTATTTGTCCGTAATGCCAAAAGTTCTGCAACTAAAGGTCGGTTTTCAGGTGGCATAGCTGTATGCATAAAGAAATATCTGTCGTCACAGTATAAACAAGTTTACTGCCAGTGGGATAATGCATTTTTTTTCCGATTGACAAACTCAACCACTTCTCTGCAATTATTCCTGACATTCATCTATATTCACCCTGAACATTCTCCTGTCTATTATAATGAAGATGGAACTGGAATCGACAAGTTGGAAGAGCAGCTCTGTCAAATAATCCATGACTATGGGGAGGGGAGTACATTCATCTTATGTGGTGATTTCAATGCTACGTAGAACAGGAAGTGAAGAGGACTTTATCATGAATGATGAGACTGACTATTGACCCATTAATAAAGACTATAAATCTGATAAATTTCTCTTTACCCCGTGCGTCATAAATGCATGTGATACACAAATCAATATCTTTTGGTAGATCATTGCTAAACCTATGTAAATCATTAGGTATCCATATTGTAAATGGAAGATCTACATTTGATAGAAATGGAGATTTTACTTTTGTCTCCCATACTGGGTGTAGTATTGTTGACTACTTAATTGTATCATCTGAGGTTTTCTCTAGGGTTATTGATTTGGCGGTTCTTAACAGAACCGAGTCTGACCACTTGCTGGTTCTATGTAGTATAGAACATGTCTTCACGTCAGAGTTACAAAGTAAGCAAGCTACAGAGAACACTGTTGGTATTACCCTCACTCCTGTTCCTAAATATAGGCTTCCTATAGACAGAATACCAGCATATCAAAAATATGTTTTTAGCAGAGAAAGCAGCCGAATGTTTGACGATTTTATTTCTGTTTTGCAAACTGACATAAACGCCGCAGTTATGAAATTAGCTGATATACTTATCTACTGTGGGGAAAAGGCGGGGGCAGTCTGTAGATGGTCTAGAGATAAAACCTCTGAAGAGCAACCGTTATGGTTTGATGCAGAGTGCTGTCAACTTAAATCTAAGAAATACATGCTACTAAATCGTTTCAGATCATTCAAGAGTGACTCAAACTTAAAAGACTATTTATGCGCAAAAACTGAATTCAGAAAGAAGTCTAAAACTAAACAAAATGAGTAAAAAATACATATGAGTCAGAAATTAACCGAGGCTGCAAATATGAGTGATTGTAAAGGTGAGGTGAGGTGAAATGGGGTTTAACGTCGCGTCCAAGATTATTGCACTTATATAGCGACGTGATTGTAAAGAGTTCTGGAAGACTATAAAGCAATATTTGAGAAGTAACGCACGACAAGGTGATATAACCCCTGACACTTGGTTTAGATATTTTAAGGATTTATTAAATCCAGCTTTTAACAGAGATGTGAATGAATTTGATAAATCAGTTCAGGAATTTTTAGATTCCCATTCATGTCAACATTGTAATGATTTGCCTTTTACTGACCAGCTCTTATCAAGTGAAATTACTGAAAATAAAGTTAAACAAGCTTTAAATGATTTAAAAGTGGGTAAAGCAGCCGGTGAGGATGGTATACCCCCTGAATATCTGAAAAGTATAACAAATTTCATAAACCCTTATCTTAGGCAGCTTTTTAATAAAATTCCATGTTTTTCCAGATTCCTGGAATATAGGAATGATTATTTCTCTACATAAATCTGGAAACATATCTGATCCAAGCAATTATCGAGGTATTTCTCTCTTAAATGTGACTGGCAAATTGTCTTCTGTTGTAATTGAAAAACGTATTAAAACATGGTTAGAATGACCTGTTATCAGAATCCCAAGCTGGATTTAGACCCAACTATTCTCCATCAGAAAATATATTTATTCTTCAATCTTTGTGTACACAATATTGTAGTAAACCCAATGGCCGTTTTTATTGTGCCTTTATCGATTTCAAAAAGGCTTTTGACTATGTGGATAGAAAGAAAATGATGTTTATATTAATTACTTAAGGATTAACAGGCAAATTGTCAAACGTTCCACAGAGCATGTACTCATCAGTTAAGGTATGTATCAAGACAGATAAAGGAATCACTGAATGTTTCAGAACTTCAGCTGGTGTAAGACAGGGCTGTGTACTCAGCCCTGTCCTATTTATATTTTTCATAAATGAACTTGTAACTAAAATGTATCATGAATGTGATTACGGAGTCTTTGTGTCACAAGATATAATTGATATTATGCTGTTACTATTTGCTGATGATACTGCTTTATTATCATTTTCAGTTAGTGGCCTCCAGAAACAGTTAAATGTTCTCCAGCTAAATTGTGAGAAATAGGGCCTTGAAGTAAATTTGAAAAAGACAAATGTTATTGTTTTCAGAAAAGGTGGTATTTTAAATAAATTTGAAAAATGGACGTATTGTAATAAGACAGTCAAAACTGTTTCATATTATAAATATTTAGGATTGACTGTATCTTCTCGATTATCATGGTCAACAGCATGTAAGCAGTTGGCTCTGCAAGCATCTAAAGCCTTGATTCCTGTCTATAGAGTTTTTAAAGAAAGCAAATTTATATCTTTCCGAGTTGTTTCGGACATTTTTGACAGAAAAATAGCACCAATTCTTCTGTATGGTTCAGAAATATGGGGATGTCATTATAATGATTCCATAGAAAAAATTCATGCCATGTACTTTAAACGTTTTTAGGTGTCGGTAAATATACCTCTAACAAAGCCATTCTAGGAGAAACTGGTCGTACTAGTCTTTTTGTTTCATCCCAGCTACGGGCAGTTAAATATTGGATAAAGCTACTTCGTATGAATTCAAATAGATTTCCTCTTCATTGTTATAATATGTTAAAGCCTTGGATGAAAAGGGTAAATATTGTTTATGGGTGTCTGATATCAGGAATATTCTTTGTATGTCTGGTTTTTCTCTTGCAGGTATAACTCAAGATGTTGGAAATGATAAATTATTTATCTTCATGCTTAAGCAAAGATTACTTGATATATTTTCACAAGATTAGCACTGTCAAATATCATCCTCGCCATTATACGAATATAAAATCATTACTTGTTCCTGAAAAATATGTGTCTGTACTTCAGGATAGAACTTTGAGAACATCTTTGTGTAAATTTCGTATATCATTACATAATTTTAATGTTAATAATCTCAGAAAGAAAAATGTACAAGATAAAGAAAGTAGTTTTTGCCGTTATTGAATGAAGGCTATGTTGAGGATGAGTTTCATGTACTTCTCATTTGTAAATATTATCAGTTTCTTAGAAATAGATACCTCCCTATGATTTCAACTATGTACAAAGATGAACAACTGATTAAAAATTTGTTGAACTCCCGCAATGCTAATACAAATATCATCTCTGTCAATATTCCTGAAAAAGATTTTTGAAATTAGACGTTAATATTATATGTAAATTTATTATTACCTACACGTGACTGTACAATGTTGATGAAAAAAACCAACACTTCTGTACTATAGGTCACATGGCCTAAAATATTGAATAAACTTCTGTCTGTGTAAATTGTTTACTTTATTTCATGAATAACAAAATTTGTCACATTACACTCACACACTCAGGCGAATCCGGCGATCTGAGGACGAATTGACATGTCCGATTTTCTATATTACCTTTTTACTTTTTTATGTCAGTACGATTTCCTCATTTCTTATTATTTGTGATAATACACACGGTTTCAATATCGACATTTGTGTTGGAATAGTTTAGGACCTCGTTAAAAATACAATACTAAAACATCTTGTCATTCACAGCAAATTCCCTGCAAGTGAGCTGAGTTATAATGGATTAGTTCTATGCGTGGTGGAGTTACGCCCCTTATCTTAATGCATGGCTCGCTGTCATTGTGTCACGTCATAGAGGAAAATCGATTTTCTTCATTTATGGAAAGATATTTTTCGAATCTGATGTATAGAATTATACATACATACATACATACATACATACATACATACATACATACATACATACATACATGTATATATTTATGACGTTCAGATACTTGGCAGTATTTTGTTCGCTCACATTTTCCGTTAAGATGTTAAATAAAACATTTCTAGCATAGTACTTTTATCGGTGAACTATATAAAGTCTGTACAACAAAATCTCGGACAACACTGAGCAGGGTCTCTTTTTCAGACTGGTCTCTTATTTCAAACTAAATATTTATTACACCATCAGATAGGGATATCTTTACATCTTGGCATAATATTATAGTCGGAGGTAGACCCAGTGCCACGCAATTCTCTCATAACGTTCACTTTTCAGATCTTATGACAATTAGCGGCAGACACTCGGCATGCAGGGGGTAAAACATTGATCTTTTTTGCTTAGCCATGATATGATAAACAGTTTGCCCCTCGTATAAATCATCCATCAGTAATAATACGTGTTATGCTTACCATAATACATATCTTTGAATTCTTAATATATGATATATAAAATAAGGAAACTCTATCAGTTAATAATATGTATTAACCAGGCTGAAATCTGCATAAAGGCGTATTCCTGCCTGGCAGTGTTAACATCTAGTTATACTGCCGGTAATAGGTTATCTCCCCCAGATCATGTATAAACACTGTTACTGTTAATAGGGGAATTCACGTGTACGTACATTTGTATGTCCAAGCATCTCCATGATAGTCTTGAGGCGTCTGATCTTCCAGGTTGTTGCATGTTTTACATAATTGTCCTTAGTAGGAACATACGTGTCACTATCCTTCCCCGAGAGGCCCAGGTCGTGGAAGTGGACGTTCTTGCTTCTGTTGAAGGACTTTTGTCCAATGCTAAACAAATGGTTTGTCGTTGAAATGTAAGACATTCTAACCCTACCAAGCCACCTTTCACTGAATAAGTGGCATTGGAAGACTTTTAGAAAGTAAGTAGAATGACTTAGACATAAAATATGTGCATTGCACTTGAGTCAGGTTTGCCACCTGGCTTTTTTAACCTTTGTTGGTGTATACCACACATCAGATACTATTGTTCCAAACGATTTAACCGTTCCCTACATCGCCACCAAGGAGCAAATTCTGTTGTTCGCTTCTACTTTAGTACTTACATACAGACAACAGTTTCAAATCAAACTTTCTTTTTCCATGTTGACATAAACAATTTTATTTCGATTGATTATAGTTTCAATATTGTAAATACTATAAGTCAAAGCTTGTTTGGTCAATCATTTCGATGCATTATCAAAGTCGTTGGTGAACTATGACAATACATGCATTTAGCAACGTTTCACAGTCTTTATTATGTTCTATTATTCTTACCTTGGGTCAAAAGAATGAACTTCACAGCCAAGCGCGCCCATTGCGTCATCAAACGACCAGTCATTCCAAATCCTACAATGGTTTATTTACTAATTACCATTTTTACTACATATTTAAATTTTGATGTCGTGTCTGTGAAACGGGGTTTCATTTAAAAGATATCTTTAAGTATTGTTAAGAATGCATTAAATAATCTTACTGATGTCGGATGTACATTGTAAGTACATTTACCAATATGTCTTATGGAATAAACAGGATCTTGATTCGACTAACAAGTACTTCAGTTTAAAGTGTAGAAAATTGTTTTCATTTGAATATATTTCTACTGACCCAAAGGAGTAAACTAGACATGGTGGCTTGACCTCAAAGATTGTGTCGTTACATATGTGCCAGTTGCCCCTCTTCTCAATCTTACTGCACCTGTACTCCGGGGGTTTCTCCCAGTCCCTGTATAAAGCAGATAAGTTCCTGTTAATGCCACCATACACATCTGTTATCAATAATACTGGAGGAAGAAAGTATTACTCTAACAATGTAATATGATTCTTTATTATTACAGTTTGACTTTCCAACTTTCAGATTTTACACTCAAGATAATAGACAACTCATCTTATAATAAGCGTAAACGTGAGAGTGAGTAGACAACTACAATTATCATATATTATTTGGATGAACTACAAGTAACATGATACAAGCCTGGTTGTTTTCTGAACCATTTATTCACAATTTATGCAACACACCGATTTTCATACAAATAGCAAAAGAGCGCCTGATCAGAATAACCATTCACACTCGTGTAACACATTTTACATACACTATCGTAAAGCTGTTTATATCTATTAATCATGTTCTAAAACTGTATGCTTGTAGAAATTTTATTTAAGCACATCAAGGTTGTAGTTGTTTTACATATGCCAAGAACTAGTCGACAGAAGCTAGTCAACGTAAAACATATTCATATTCATACAAAGAACGCAAATTACAATATGGAAGACCTTCGAAATATTTTAATAGTGCTCGGTGAGGGTGGAACTTAACGAGTTATATACAATCAGTCATTGATGATACAACCATTAATTGAAGGTATCCCTACCTGGAAACGTTGAGTGGTATAACATACGGTCAGGATATGTCAGTGTGTACGGATTCAGGATAACATAATATCCACGAATGCATTCTCTATTCGGCAAGGGACCTCGGGTGTTATCCTTTCCACATAAAAACGTAAACGTTGGGTGCCTCTAAAGTTTCACCCCTTACCTACCACTTCAAAAGGGTTGACGCTTGCCACCACTTCGTAATCTTTAAAGCGTCCTCGTCATCTTGAGGGTGGCCATCTGGAAATATGTTATAAAATTATTTTCACTAACTCCTTCTCCTACTCAATATACAATATATTTCGTTGGAAGACTATATGAACACACGCTCCAGTTTGTGCCCCTATGCTGTAACATGACCTCTAATATACTAATTATATTTGTTTCCCATTGGGACATGTACATACCAATGTTCATATCAAGGAGTAACCCTGCTTCCGTCAATAGACATAACAACAGATAAATGGTTATCTACATCATCCTTGAAGACACTCTGTCAAAACGTAACTGTTTTGAACTATGCCGGATATTATTGAAAATTCAATCTGAGCAATCCAGATTATCTCAGAGAGGAAAATGGTTATACAAAGGACACCCTCCAGATGTCAGTACTTTTGATAAATATATTGGTATCTATCTTACGGACAGATTGTTATAGTCTCTGCGTGTTAACACGGCTGCTTTACAAGCTAAGAAAATAAGCGCAATTATGATGTTTTGAGCCGAAATTTGGACTTCATGAATATTAAATGCTTTTGAAAGATTCATTTATATGCCAGTAGGAACTCTCGGTTAAACCAAGTACTCAAAATGTGATGATCTACGGTGAATGTTGAAGATGCCCATTGTACATAGACTCCCATTTATTGTCATCAAATGCTGGTTAAAGCACTAATATTGCCAAATGCAAGTTTTCCAAAGAGATGTTAGTATATACTGTTTCTGTATGTTCGTCAAGGTAAATCTAACTGGACATAGTATGTTTAACAGTGAATTACTTCATCATGGTATGGTTATGTTTGGACTGAACAAAATGAGCACATGATACAGCGATTTATTATTTAGCTTACCAAGACATTAAAAGACATACACCTACAAAAGTTGTTAGCATTTCTACCTTTGTCCAATAAATTAAATCACTATTCATGCAACGAAAATGTGATACAGAGCACTTTTGTTTGACATACATTTAAAGAAATTCCGAGTGGTGCTAGCCAGATTTAAATGCAGCTCTCACTGTCTCCTTTTTGAATCGGGTAGACACTGTGGACTCCACATAGAAGACAGAATTGGTCAAATATGTACTTTCAATTATATCGAAGATGAAAATTACTTTTAACTTGTTTGTCCATTTTGTGTCGATTAAAGAATTAAAGAATATTTTTTCAAGTATCTCGCTTGTATAAATTGTAATTACTATAAAGACTACAAATACTGTGACAATTAAAAGGAATCAAATGTTCTTTTCCATGCTATGAATCTTAGAAGCATGCCATTACTCAACTACTTGATAAAATTCAACAGTTTTTTTAAGTATATTCTATTGAATCAATGTATCCTCAACTTCTTTGTAGACATGTACTATAGGCAAATGAAGAATGATTGATGAAGCTAAAATAAATGATTTCTTGTAATGATTTCTAACTTCTGGTTACAGACTGTCCTTTTTAGTAAACAGAAACTTACAAAAGGACCCTAGCCTTTTTATAAACAGTTTAGCCTTGTTATGTAGACCCTACTTGATCATGCCAGAAGTCTAAAACCTTGCACGTTTTAGAAAGAAAACAGAAATTGAACATCACTTGTTCATTGTATGATAAATCTTAAACTAATATTTACAGTTTTCCTCAACCTTACATTTCACATTTCCATTGTGCCAAAACGGCCCTTATTATACATCGCGCTTTTTCAAAATGAGGTTAATAATAACGTAATTTTGTGAACACACTATCCTCCAATTAGTAATAACAGTACTATGATCATTGCAAATGAGAGGTTTTATTGTTACAAATAATAGGTAGAATCATGACTAATGACAGGTATAATCATGACAAACGAGAGGTATAATCATGACCAATCAAAAGTATAAACATGACAAATGAGTATATGACAAATGACAGGTATAATAAGGAAAACGGAGAGGTATAAACATGACACATGGGAGGTATAAACGTGACAGTGAAATGTATAGCCATGACAAAAGAGATCATGACAAAATGTCAGGTATAATCATGACAAATGAAATGTATAATCAACCCTCGACAACAGCCATTTGGTCAACCTCAATACCGTCTACTTTAGGCCTTTGTTCTTTGCATCTACCTCGCTCTAGCTGCAAACTGGCATAATATGTTGGCTGTTCAAAACTTATCTTCCCCAAAGCGCTTTCCTGGCGCCACTGTTTTCCACGTTTTGTACCCGCATCGATATCAATCACCTCAAATAATCTAGTACGTGCACTTGGTTTGTCCAGACATTATTTACCTTTCCCAGATGCCGCTTTCGTGTCGACACTTCCTTGACCACGTGCGTCATGAAGCTGATCATGAAGTGCTTTAATCTGTCGTTTATGTTCCCTGTCCGTCTCTTGCATGTCCTTCTGCATTGTCATGAGCGCTTCCTTCAGACCTTTCACCAATTTCTCCAAAAACTCTGTGTGTGCGTTCTTGCCAACTTGCAGGTTCTTGCTGTTCGCACTTTCGTCCATGGCCGAGATCTGTGACATCATCTGTGCTTTCTCTCTTTTAACTGGCGTTTTGATAAAAGTATAATTTTATATTTATTATACGATCACCCCTTACTAATTAAAAAACAAATTTGCAAAATTCATATAAAACTAACGTAACTGTCAACTATAAATACTAATTAATCATATGCATTGTGTGTAGTCTGTGGCAACTACACACAACTTAAAAGGATAGAAGGAACACGCCTTTTCAGAAAATATCCATATGCACGTTACTGTAAAATACTAAACATCTTGCACTTTAATTAGTACTAGCATTTGCTGTTCCCAACCAATTATCGAAACGACCGACCTTCTTGCTACTTGGCGAAAAAGATTAACTATTTATGAAGGCATAATTCGATAACAGTGAAATAAAAAAGTGTGGCCTTAATAAAATATTATACTGTTTTTTTTAATTCTTCAGCAACAAAAATTGTTGGGCAATTTATTTTGATAATGCAAACGAAAGTTAATTTTTTTCACAAATGCGCTCATGGGTTTCACCAAAGTGGTAACAGTCAAAGGCCTGCGTCGTTACCAAAACCAACCACAAACCACATTTCTTGAATAGCTGGTCGAAATATTTCATATGTTCTCGTTTCTTGATCTCATCATGACGATGTCACAGAGACAAAGTTGACTGCCTCGTATCTAGATTAAAGTGACACATGATTGGGCGGACACCATTGGAAGGTCGGACATTTATACCTGTAACTGTAAATATATTGATTAGTTGTTCAGACTTGACAACACAGTGTGTTTATGAAACACTGTCAAATAGTGATGATACTAGATGTTCATGAAAAGGTGAGCATATCCTGCCCCACCGGTGTCACCCATCATAGACCCATGCAAAGGCAAGTCAATTGTTCACCTGAAAAACAGGGGAATATAGGATACAGGTCAAAATAGGGAATTGCATCGGTCACTGATGCGTCAAATTTGGAAATGTTCTCAACATGACTAACACAAACCTTTTTGAAAGCTTTACTGAGGCCTTGAATGTTGTAAACATCACACATGTGTATTGCAATCTTAGCTCATTACTTTTGACATGCACGAAGGCTGGTCGGCGTAATTCAGTTACACATAACATTAAAGTATTTGGAAACGGACGCCAATGTCGATCAACGTTTGCATTTTCACTAAGGGCAAATATGACGAAGTCTGCAACATTTCAGTCCTATTTGATATTTATACGTGACCATAGGACGTAAAATAGAGCAACGGTTGGCGGTTGTCCCCATGGTAACTGTTACTGTTACTGTTCACCAATAAAAGTTTAAGGACTCCATAATCACTCTGCATGTTCATATGAAGATAACATAATATGCAAACTATCACGTTCGATTACATACGGCTTACGGATTTATGGAGTATATAGTGTTCATAGTGAATGCCTTACAATCCTATCTCCAGGATGTGCAATGTTTCATCCTGGTGTTTGGTTTTCTACATCCTTATTTCAAGTGAGCCGTGACACGAAACAGGATGTTAGTTGTCACCAATACTATCCAATTTTCGTAACAATTATTTGATCTGTATGCTTATACTCTCATATTCTTATATAAATTATACAGTTCTCGTAGCCTTATTAGCTTCGACTGATATCTTGTCTTTTCTTGTCGACAATGGCCCCGACATACATGTTACTTTTATTATGTGCTGTATGCATGCCGTTGTGATTTGCAGAAGATACTTTCTTGGTTAATTGTTATCAGAGCATCAAGATTAAGTAAAGAGACGCTCAGCTGCAGATCGGGTATTCTGATTGCTTTTATCTGATTAAGGTTAAGTTGACAGAATTAAATATGAAATATGTTCGATACAAACGCTGCTCCATATTGCGTTCTGAATTAAATTAAAAGTATATTCTGTATACAACTTGCCATATTTTAGCCTAATGCGCCTACAGTTTTATCAAAGCAACTTTATGCACAACTTTATGCACCAGTGCGTCGTCTAACTTCGTATAAAGTGCAGTTCGCCAACGGTGTTATCAAAACAACTTTATGCACCAGTGATTTATGTAATTTAAAGTTTACCCCCTCAAATTACATGATAGACTCACCCAGGCAGCTGGTAAAAATTGAGTTGTTGATCCATAACACATAACAAAGAGAGATCGCACAACAAGAACAATTTATTTCTGGCAGTGAATAACATTAAAAAGTCTTACTTCTGGTTAAAACATTGTACCATGTCCAACCAATGAGCGTCAATGAATTTCACATTGTACATAAATCCATCGAAATCCAGTTGATACATTATGGTACATCCGGGTTGGAATAGGTCTTCAGCAAGTCATGCTTGTTTTGAGAGGCGATTATGCTTGTCGTAAGAGGCGACTAACGAGATCGGGTGGTCAGGCTCGCTGACATGGTTGATGAATGTCATCGTATCCCAATTGCGTGGTTTGATGCTGATGATATCAATCACTTTGATTGTCTGGTCCAGACTAGATTATTTACAGAGAGTTATGTTATTTTAGCGCCTCTTTAAACATATCACTTTGAACATTTGTTTTTCGCCATGAAGGCATCTTGCAGGCATTGTGCAGACATCAGTCACCATATTTGTACGTCTAGCGTCGTTCTAGTGTCAAGTTCTTTCGATCAGCACAGCATGACATCAAGACGGCGAGAATCCCTGAGACGTCTATAGGAGATAAAATCATGGATTGTACCCAACTTCGTTGGAAGTAGCCTGAATCATTAAGTTTTTGAAATATAACAACCTTTTGTCCCAATCACAAGCTGGAACGTGGCTAATGAACGAGTGTTGCATATGATTACTCATATATACTGAAAAACAAAAGTTCCTGTGACATAGAATAAGATTTAATGCAAAGTTATGTTTTTTACCAAATCTGAAACAATTTCGGTTTGCAACAGATAAAAGACTCCTGTAAGTGTTCAAATGGTTTAATTTGCCATACTGACTTCAGAAAATGCGTGATTGTATAAAAAAAACAACAACAATGAACATGCCAAAATGTCAATTTACAAATCAATAGCGTGTGTGTCCACCTCTGGTTGCGATGCAAGCAACACATCTTCGTCTCATAGAATGGACCAGGCGTCGAAGGCGCCGATCCATCTCATCCCACATGTGCTCGATTGGTGAGAGATCAGGGGAGCGAGCAGGCCAGGGGATGACGTTCACTTTGTTTTGTTGAAGTAAATCCTAAACAAGTCGAGCAATATGAGGCCGGGCGTTGTCATGTTGAAAGGTAATGCCTGGGCCATGACGACGCAAAAACGGTAGAACAACAGGGCCGATGATCTCGTCGCGGTAGCGCTGTCCATTGAGATTTCCCTCTACCACTATCAACCGGGTCCTCTGTCTTGCTGTAATCCCACCCCATACCATGACGCTGCCGCCCCCGAACCGATCTTCTTCCATGACACAATGATTGACGTAACGTTCACCTCGACGTCGGTACACTCGAATCCGTCCATCGCTGTGGCTGAGGTGAAAACGATACTCGTCAGTGAATAGAACTTGTCCCCACTGCATGACCGTCCAGCGTAGACGCTATCTGCACCACTGTAGACGTGCTTGACGGTGGTTTCCTGTCAAAATGGGACGTCTGGCGGGTCTTCTGGCGACAATCCCTGCACATCTGAGGCGGCGACGTGCGGTTTGTGAAGATATTCGTTGAAGGCCAGGGATGCTTCTTGCAGCCACTGTTGGTGGCTGGAATGGATTTCGTAGGTGTGTTGCTCGAATCCAGTTGTCTTGTCGATTATTGGTTACGCGTGGCCTGCCACTCCGAGGATGGTCTCTGACTGTCTGTTGCCAACGTTGCCATAAACACCAAATTACTCGATCCTGCTTCAAGCATACCAAAGGCTTGAAGACGCTCATTTTCGGACAGGCGTGGCATTTCGTAATGTTTAATAATTGCGTAATTTCGTTGTTTTTCTGAGTGGTGGTTGTCAGCACGATGCTAAACAATGCATATGGAATCCCGTTAACGCACATGTTTTTATACCCATTCTTGGGCGGTGAAATGCATGGGGCTTGCATAAAAGTAAACTTTTGCATGGAATGCATGCTTTTCTGTAGCAGTTGCGATTTTGAGACTTGATTCCATACATGTACTACAATATTGAAAACCAAACTTTACTTGTTTGAAAAATACACTAAAATATTGGTGTCACATGAAATATTGTAATTAATACTGGAATATACATAAAGTAACACGATGAACCAGGAAGACATATGAATCAATAATTTAACCAAAGAAAACTGTCGACATGGCAGCTTATGATTATGACATTCTAATATGCACCAATTCCTCTCAATACACATAAACGAAGCGGCAAAAGAAAGTATAGGCTGGCAATTTGTAATTTTCCTAAAAACAGCGATAACTAGTGGAAAGTGGGTATTGGGAATATGACTGCCTAGGAACAGGTACCAAAATACACATCACCCGAACGCGCCACCTTTGACGGCGCTCGTGCGGTGACAAAAAATGGTGAAACAGGTTTCCTGTCAATGGCATAAACTGCACGTTCATGTTAGCTGTATAAATGCGTTCGTCTGCAGGGTATAACCACACGTGATGAAAGCACAAAACAGAAATGCCACGACTGTCACAGGAGCAGAGAGAGAGAGAGCCATCGGTATGGCCGAAATGGGGGCAACACAGGTCCAAATTGCCAGGAGGTTTGGTTGTACACCATTGACAGTAGCCAGGCTGATTCAACGGTACAGGCAGACAGGGAGGACACAGGACAGGACTAGAACCGGACGACCCCGAGTGACACAACCGCTGGAAGACGGTCAGATACGGCTCATTCACCTGCGAAACAGATTCGTAACGGCGACGGCAACGGCAGCAACAGCGGTGGGACATCCCATTAGCCAACGTACAGTACTACGACGACTTCGTGCTGCTGGAATCCGAGCGTATCGTCCTTTCCGAGGAATGGTACTGACTGCTCAACATCGACGCCTGCGACTGCGATGGGCGAAGCAGGTTCGACGCTGGCAAGTGAGAAATTGGCGTCGAGTGCTGTTTACTGATGAAAGTCGGTTTAACTTGTTTGGAAATGACGGCAGAGAACGAGTTTATCGACGCAGAGGGGAACGTTTATCTCCGGCGTGTATTCGAGAGGTCCATCCATTCGGCGAGGGAGGTGTCATGGTGTGGGGTGGTATTTGTGGAGATCAGAAGACTGATTTGGTAATTATACAGGGAAACCTGAACGCTGTGCAGTACAGAGACCAAGTGTTGCAGTCAGTTGTGCTTCCGTTCTTACAAAACCAACAGCAGGGGACATTGTTTCAACACGACAATGCCAGGCCCCATACTGCAAGACTGAGTCGGAGCTTTCTAAACCAGCAGAACGTTGCCCTGGCCTGCCTACTCACCCGATATGAATCCTATTGAACATCTGTGGGACCATCTTGACAGACAGATTAGAGCACGCCATTAGCCTCCCGTCAACAGACAAGAATTGCGGCAGGCCCTGAGAGACGAGTGGCAACGGATTCCAGTTCACGTCATCAGAAGACTGACGTCATCGATGAGGCGGCGTATCACAGCATGCATTGAGGTATCTGGAGGTCATACACTCTATTGAAGGCAACTGTGTCGACAATGAACTTGTAGTGTGTCTGACAATTTTTTGGTGACATTTCAGACAACTTTTGATTATGAAATTTCTTACCCCACCATTGTTTACCTTGATCTTACATTACCTGTGATAGCACAATTTCATTCAAACTGTGGTTGATCAATCATTTGTTACCCCTCCCTAGATTATATTATAATTCACTACAAAACCTCTTCTTGTTATTTTTTTTATCGATCATGGAACTCGACCTATACTTAATTCTGCCGCCCAGTTTAATTAATATAGAATACTAAACGAGCTCCCGTGTAATACCAATTTAAATTTAAAATGGTTTTACACGGGAGCGAGTTTAGTAATTTATTTACTACTTGCCATTTATAACGTTTTTAGAATTATACTGTTGAGTATGAATAGGCTGACACCTACACGATCCACGACATAGTCCAATTGAGTTTAACAGAATAATACAGTAACTTCAAACACGTCAAAAGTTGAAACGTATGAATTTAATACCATACAACGGTCCACCTTTAGAATTCACAAAATTATCGTAGGTCTAAGACTATCGCAACTCACATACTTTAACAGACTAACGACTGTCGTTGCGCTTCAAAACGATCGCCTTGTGGAACGGGCCTTTCACCTCAAAGTTTACAATAACGTCACAATCACCGATGACGTAATTTGTGGAATTTTGTTGCAAGATCCATCGGCGAAACAATGCCATGTGACGTCAGCCTAGCAACAAGGCTGCTGGGGTCATCGAGTGTGCATAAGCTCCTCTCAGTAGTCTATCAACTCCACACGCAATGTCGTTGAATAAGCCAAGGGATATAGAGAACTTTCAATATTTGTTCGTGAAACGTTTTCCGAGAGTACAAAAGCACGCGTTTTGGTATTACACAATGTGTAATATAGCTGTATGTTTATTAAACGGGTGATCACTTCACGGGCAAGTAATAAAATGTATTATATGAGCATGCACACCACATGGTTTTGAACAAACTAGACCCCAAAGATCGATTTCAAGACAGTTTCAGCAGATATTCAACAGATGTTCGGCAAGTGTATATTCTGATACAATAGGTCTTAAGACTTTTGCCATTGAATATGCTACAAATGACCTGTTTATACCCCCCGAACTCCTAAACTGCACAGAGCGACAATAATAACTCAATTAGCTTTGTAAAATCAACAAATGTCCAATATAATCGTTTCTTGGTATTATTAAGTACACTGCAACACTTGTTCATTAGCCACGTACCAGCTTATGGTTGGGATAAAAAGGCTGTTATATTTCAATAACATGATAATTTATAATAATAAGTTTATCTTTCTCTAGATTAAAGCGTAAAACATTTCCATAATCATAAGCCTGTTAAAAGAATATTGTACCATTATATTCTATACCAGGAGCATGTATTATTATCACATTTTGTCTTAACGCGGCACTCCACTCCTGCCATATTCCACGATGGCGGTAATTTATGAATAACAATCAAATAGTGATGACACAAGGTGTTCGCGAAAAGGTCAGCGTAATCTGCCCCACCGGTGGCACAAAATTCCTACAAGTAGACCTTGAGTTGTGTGTAACAGCGTGTCAGTTTGATGTGGGAGGAAAGTCCAAAGTGGTGCAGGTCTTATTGAAAATATATAAATATTATTTATTTAGTGAGTGTTTCAGCAGCATCTCTGCACTTGTATGTAATATATCTTATTCAATTTTGACATATCGTTTTTAGTTTCAAGAAAAGCAGTACGTACTATCCTGTCACTTGATGGTCTGGTCAAGACTCCAATGTTCAGCCCACCTTCGTATGGCAGGAGTACTGCTGAGCGGCGTTTGCAGCAAACACATATTTTTAATGCACATTGCATGAGTGACTGGTCGTACCGGTAGTGCATGACATGCTTACCCTTTTAGGTAGCATCACTATGGTCTTCATTCTCAGTGATCCATTCAAATAATTTGAACTGCTATTTTGTATTTTACGCCCAATGGAATCTGTTTTGTTCATTTGACGTTTTATATAAGACGTTTACCATTTTGGTGAAACTCAAGGAGCATGTGAACATAGGTGCTGACTAACCTAAAACATATCAGGGCGTGTGGGGGTCATAGGTTTCAGGCAGGTGATGATGCTGCTACCCCCCCCCCCCCCCCCCCCACCCACCCACCCCCCCACCCCCCCACCCCCCCCCGATAACGTTTATGTTGTTTTAATATTTCTTTGCATCGTGATTTAACATGTTTCTTTGAAGAGTTATATATTCAATAAAACGATGTATTGATGTAATGATACAATTTCAAATTATTACATTTATCACCCACACGAAAGTGTTATCACATTAAGGAGATAGAGAGGAATAAATGTATGAAGAGTATGACGCTCATATCGCTGAAAATACAAACATTTGGTAAAATCTGAAGCGCATGATATTTGACATGTATATGCATGATCGCTTTTGAGTTCCGAATTGAAACTTACTGATAGAGTGGAACAAGCGTTAGCTAGTTGACAGAACATCTCCATTCATTTGAAGGTCAGGCGCATTTTGTAAAGACCGCTCGTCGTAACAAATGAGAGATTAAGGCACGACTGTCACAATGTTCCAGCACAGCAATAGGTTTGGCGATATGACATATTTGTTACCTTCACTTGAAATCATTTCACTGATTTTGTTGTTCGTGTATCCAGTTTGATCCCGTGCAGTATACAGAACTACTGCTACAATCAGTGCGGCAGCTACAAGCACTGTGGCCACCGTCTTAGTCCCAAGAGCCATGGTTATTGCGTGCGCCATCAAACCCTGTAACAACGCTTTGCCATTCAGATGCAACACCTGTTTGAGCATGCGTCGACTCAGTGGTTGGTTGTTTTATCAATAATATTGTAGTACTGTCTCAGCTTTGTGGTAACTGTACTGTACAGGTATATGTAGTGAACATAGTTTAGTTTTAAATATATAATTACGTCGTCTTCATTCTTCCATTTCGATGTGGAATTATTACGGCTGATTGTTCTGTGCTTTGGTGTCCGTAACTCTATCCTCAGAATATAAACACTCTCAGTACTATTTAATGATAAAAAATATTCATTTTATTGGCATGCTTCGCTTGATATGGAAGAATCAAGATAAGTGTGAAAGTAAAGACACACGATTCAATTATCTACAATGGGTTATTACAAGACACTTTATGAACGCAGGCGTTCAAGGAATAGTTACCTAAACTGTGCGAAAAAGAGAATATACACTTGAATTTGGATTTGACCAAAATTAACAAACGTTATCAAAAAGGTACCAAACCACTGCAAACATGAGGTCCAAAACACAACCCGTTGGTTTTGAAGATGCACTTGCAGCAGTGAAAAGTCGCGAAAACCTTTTTCGTCTATCGGTAAACATGCACGTGCAGAGATGGTATTAAATTCAATGGACCGTTGCCAAAAGATCGCATCTTCCCGAGGCAAGTGAGTAAACTGACTATAAAAGTCCAGTTTCCACCTTTGCCGAACTAGGCTGGTATTATGGACTAACATGTTGGCTGGACTAACGAGTCTATGCATAGTCCAATCATAATCGTGTACCACAATCGAAATCCGGTTAGTAAACTGTCGTGCTGATTTCGGTCGATTGCAGGATTTGCAAAGCATGTGCACCGCCAACTCGTTGTCAACAGATATTTTCCAAATCTGATCATGTCTTTAATCAAGGTGCTCAAGTGATTTTATGCACTATGCTATGTTAGACCCGTTTTATCTTAATGTAGATCTTTATTATTAATCAGATCATCTTGACTGGGCGCCGCCATTTTGTTTGAAACAAATGCAAGTGATACGAGAGACGGAATCTGATTGGTCCATAGGAGAGGCTTAGAAGGGACATAACTCGTAATTACCACTGGTGGCGCTAGGATCGAGCCCAATAATTCTAGCCTAGTTCGTCAAGGGTGGAAACTGGACTTATAAAGTCAGTTAACTCTCTTGCCTCGTGAAGATGAAAGATCACGGCTAATGAAAAGGCACTAAACATATGCCGCATTTAACTGCACAACAAAGACAGGGCTGCACGAATGAGGCAAATGGGTGCAAACCACACCCAGATTTAAAGAGACTTCAACTGTACAGTGCAACCTTCATCAGAGTGTTTAAACGTTACAGACAGACTGGCAGCACACATGATAAGATCAGGCAGTCAACACGTAACGACGCTACAGGATGACCGGTACTCGTGCACTTTGCATTTGTACAACAGGTTCGCCTCATGGATGGAAACGGCAGCTACATCGTTCGAACGCAGCATCAGTCGACTCACTGTACTACCGGGGCTTCGTGTCGCAGGTATTCGAGATTGTCGCCCCTACCGTGGAATGGCCTCCACCGATGAACATCAACGTGGGCAAGGACAGAAAATTGCCGCAGATCCCTGACCTACAGAGAGACCATTTTTCTGACGAAAGCAGATTCTGCTTATTCCGTAATTATGGTCGTACTCTGGTTTATCATCCAGGATTTCTTGGATGCATACAATCTCACCATTCTTCTATGGTCAGCGTCTTACGCATCAGACTTAAACCCTGGATCGTCTGAAAGCCGCACAAGGGAACGACAGACAACTGACTCCATAAGACATCACCAGGGCCCTGACAACAACGATGAGACGGCGTATCTGGGCGCGTGCATTGGTGTCCGTGGTGGTCATATTCACTATCGGTAATGTCTGGTATCTGTGAACCAACTCACGCTGATCATGACAATACCTGCTTCTCTTTGGTCCTTACTGTATAATGTGACACCCCAGCCCCCCCACCCCCCAAACCTTGTCGTGTACAAATCTATACGTAATATGTACTTTCTTATATCGGTTTGATACGTACCACAGTGACCACGGTTTTATCACAGTTGATACGTACTTGAGTAACTATAAAAAACACACATGGAGAGACATCCTTATCAGTGTGGCCACGCACTTAACTTTTATAACAATATGAAGTTAATTACTACCACCAGACTGGCAATTATAAACGCATTTGCCTTAGACTAATATACTTCAGTTCCCAAGTTATGAGAATAAAAACCAACTATTAAATAGGAATCACTCTGTGTGTAACATATATCAGTGTTATTGTGAAGAACTTGTTCATTCAAACACAGTTTTCATGCACTACACTGGGTATTACAATCAGACAGGCGGTCAATAAGACAGGGTAAATATCTAGTTTGTCATTAATGTGTTACGTTTATCAAATGTCTTCAGAGCGTCCAAGTAGCTTCCTTCACCTTGATGTACCCTTTTATAGTATATTTGGTCACTTGTACAAACACACAATTTTAAAACCGATGACTTAGCTACCCGTATCAAATACATCGCTCATGATCAAGATTTATCTTTTTTGCATTCAAATGAATAGATTTCATCTTTTAGATAAGAGCAACATATATGTTTGGTTCATGGTTTTCAGAAAGTATGAGTGCTATGCTTAATCGGGGTCTCCTGTAACTTGCACTAGATGTCATAAGACGATCCATACGGGTAAATACGATTTACTCCTTCGATAAGCAATGAATATGATACTGGGGGGATAGCTATACACTGTGAATTGAGGAATGAGTGCCAGCTTAAGCTTGTTGTGGGAGGAAATCCCAAAGTGATTTAAACGTTTACCACGTCAACCAAAGTTATTCAAACAGATTCCATTGGGCGTATGGCGCAACATATCAGTAAAAAAGTAAACAGATAAATCACTTTAAATCAGTAGTGTTTGCTAAAAGGATAAGTATGTCCTGCAGTCCTGCAGATTGATATATCGCATCAATAATACCAACCATTATTATGATAACATATTGCAAGTAATACTGGAATATTTTGGGCAAGGATCATAAAGTAACATTGTGAACCAGGAAAACGTATTAATCAATGATTTAAAAAAACAAAACTGTCGGCATGGCAGCTGATGATTGTGACCGATATCTCTCATAATTTTCATAAAAAAGTAAGTGTTTCTTGCCTGAAGCCACACTCCAGTACGGCAAAGAATGTTTCAAGTTATGACATAGAATAACTTTCTATATAAGTATTGAACAGTATCCTACTTAGATGAGATACTAAATGATAAATTTTAACTCATGAACCTTCTGGCTTGAAAACACCGTATGGCTGTGTTGATATACTAGAGTAGCTGGCAACCCGTAGTGCATCTCTACCAAACCAACAAAAAAAGTTTATCCATATAGTTCCAACCAAAGTGAAACCACCTGTAGTTCTATCGGCATGGGTAGTACATTTTCACTGTGGTAACCAATGTATTGGTAGTGCGTTACTCATTTTACTTACTGATAGGTATAACATGTGACACCTTAATTGCTTCGTACTACACGATAATACACAATGCTATATTGTGTTACAATAGTATTTGGCCTGTTGCATGTGTATATAAAGATTATCAGCCGTGTCTGTTTCCATATCGTGAATATCGCATTCTAGGGAAAGAAAAGTGTATTAAACGAACATTTGGCGAACAAATTTCATACCTTGTATTCCTAATATATGATGTTTGTGATGCGTAAACTCATGAGTGTAATGCTCTCTTTGTCGCGCAATGTCCTTAGAATAATGAATGTTTCAGAAATAATTTCACTTGATGAAGTAGTTTTAGAAACCACGTATAAATATAATGTTTAAAGGAACCGCGCAATTCATCATAATAGTGTCAAACCCCTTGCGGACATGTCTACAGAACATGACGACACATTTGGAAAGCCTTTATACAAGAATACTGGGAATATAAGTCGATAGTTTATTGGAAAAGAAGTCAGAGAATTGTGACTGAAAGTGATTCCTGCTTGCCAACCTCATTTCCATATTTATTGGATCGTCATTAAGGGGCTAAAACAAGGACTGGTCGACTCGGATTCAGTATACTGTGTCTAAGTGGGGTATTCATGTTAAACTGCGGCATGGTATCTCAGTGAGCTAGCATTATAAATCGGCATCAGTCCGGACTAGTACAAGCAGCCACACAAACACACACACGTACATACACGTCGCGATACAAATGCAATAACCTTGGACGCGACGTTCAACCCCATTTCTCCTCAACTTATCTAATATGCACCAATTCCTCTCAATACACATACTTAAATGTATTGTATGAGCTTGGGCACCAGCTGGTTTTGAACAAACTAAACCCCAAAAGTCGATGACATTATGCACAGTCAATCGATTTCAAGACAGTTTCTGCAGATATTCAACATATGTTCGGCAAGTGTATATTTAAATACAATAGGTCTGAAGACGTGTGCCACTGAATATGCTACAAATGACCTGTTATTATCCCCCGAACTCCTAAACTGCACAGAGCGACAATAATAACTCAATTAGCTTTGTAAAATCAACAAATGCCCAATATAATCGTTTCTTGGTATTATTAAGTACATGTACGAGCATATGCAACACTCGTTCATTAGCCACGTACCAGCTTATGATTGGGACAAAAGGCTGTTATAGTTCAATAACATAATAATTTTAATAATAATAAGTTTATCAATCTCTAGATTAAAGCGTAAAACATTTCCATAATCATAAGAAATCTCTGCTAAAAGGATATTGTACCATTATATTCTATACCAGGAGCATGAATTTATTATCACATTTTGTCTTAACGCGGCACTCCACTCCTGCCATATTCCACGATGGAATAGTGATGACACAAGGTGTTCGCGAAAAGGTCAGCGTAATTTGCCCCACCGGTGGCACAAAATTCCTACAAGTAGACCTTGAGTTGTGTGTAACAGCGTGTCAGTTTGATGTGGGAGGAAAGTCCAAAGTGGTGCAGGTCATATTGAAAATATATATATATATATATTTAGTGAGTGAGTGAGTGAGTGAGTGAGTGAGTGAGTGAGTGAGTGAGTGAGTGAGTGAGTGAGTTGGATTTAACGCCGCTTTTAACAGTATTCCAGTTATATCGCGGCGTGTCAGCTTAATGTCGGAGGAAAGCCCAAAGTGATGCAGGTCTCAGACGTTTACCACTTCGGTGAAACCCACGAGCACGGGTATGGTGCTGACAAACCTAGAAACATAATCGGGGCGAACCGGGATTCGAACCCACAATCATAGGTTTCTGGCGTGCCCAAGGGAAGCAACTCTGCACAGCGAATCGCGGCGCCTTAGACGACTGGGCCACCCGTGCCCCCATATATTTAGTGAGTGTTTCAGCAGCATCTCTGCACTTGTATGTTACATATCTTATTCAATATTGACATATCGTTTTTAGTTTCAAGAAAAGCAGTACGTACTATCCTGTCACTTGATGGTCTGGTCAAGACTCCAATGTTCAGCCCACCTTCGTATGGCAGGAGTACTGCTGAGCGGCGTTTGCAGCAAACACATATTTTTAATGCACATTGCGTGAGTGACTGGTCGTACCGGTAGTGCATGACATGCTTACCCTTTTAGGTAGCATCACTGTGGTCTTCATTCTCATGATCAGTGATCCATTCAAATAATTTGAACTGCTATTTTGTATTCTACGCCAAATGGAATCTGTTTTAGAAGATAATCGAGACTGATTGTTCATTTGACGTTTTATATAAGACGTTTACCATTTTGGTGAAACTCAACGAGCATGTGAACATAGGTGCTGACTTACCTAAAACATATCTTTGAAGAGTTATATATTCAATAAAACGATGTTCTGATGTAATGATACAATTTCAAATGATTAAATTTATCACCCACACGAAAGAGTTATCACATTAAGGAAACAGCGAGGAATAAATGTATGAAGAGTATGACGCTCATATCGCTGAAAATACAAACATTTGGTAAAATCTGAAGCGCATGATATATGACATGTATATGCGTGATCACTTTTGAGATCCGAATTGAAACTTACTGATAGAGTGGAACAAGCGTTAGCTAGTTGACAGAACATCTCTATTCATATGAAGGTCAGCCGCATTTTGTAAAAACCGCTCGTGGTAACAAATGAGAGATTAAGGCACGACTGTCACAATGTTCCAGCACAGCAATAGGTTTGGCGATATGACATATGTGTTACCTTCACTTGAAATCATTTCACTGATTTTGTTGTTCGTGTATCCAGTTTGATCCCGTGCAGTATACAGAACTACTGCTACAATCAGTGCGGCAGCTACAAGCACTGTGGCCACCGTCTTAGTCCCAAGAGCCATGGTTATTGCGTGCGCCATCAAACCCTGTGACAACGCTTTGCCATTCAGATGCAACACCTGTTTGAGCATGCGTCGACTCAGTGGTTGGTTGTTTTATCAATAATATTGTAGTGCTGTCTCATCTTTCTGGTAACTGTACAGTACAGGTATATGTAGTGAGCATAGTTTAGTTTTAAATATATAATTACGTCGTCCAAAAGGTCCAAAACACAACCCGTTGGTTTTGAAGATGCACTTGCAGCAGTGAAAAGTCGCGAAAAACCTTTTTTCGTGTATCCGTAAAAATGCACGTGCAGAGATGGTATTAAATTCAATGGACCGTTGCCAAAAGATCGCATCTTCCCGAGGCAAGTGAGTTAACTGACACTGACACCATGATAATACATTGACACTCTGACATGGAGGTAGCACGGTTTCACAGACTGAGTGTATTCTATTATTCTTACCTTGGGTCAAAAGAATGAACTTCACAGCCAATAGCGCCCATTGTATCATCAAACGACCAGTCATTTGAAATCCTACAAAGATTTACAGCACTTACTAGTTACCATATTACCATAAATGTATATTTGGATGTCGTGCCTATGAAATGGAGCTGGTTCTTAATGAGTGAGTGAATGAGTGATTGAGTGAGTATGGTTTTACGCCACTTTTAGCAATATTCCAGCAATATCACGTCGGGGGACACGAGAAATGGGCTTCATATGTTGTTCCCATGTCGGGAATCGAACCCGGATCTTCGGCGTGAGGAGCGAACGCTTTAACCACAAGGCTACCCGACCGCCCCGGGTTTTTAATGAAATATGTATAAGTATTGTTACGAATTATACCATAGCTACATGTATCTACTGTTTTTTTCCTGAAGAGGCATCCTGGTGGAGACAATATGCACTAAATAATCAAAAACAATTTTTGTATATGCATCCACTGATGAGTACATTTATCCATATCTCTTACGGAATAAGCACGATCTGGAGTCGACTAACAAGTACTTCAGGTTGAGGCTTAGAAAATTGTTTTCATATTAATATGTTTCTACTGACCCAAAGGAGTAGACTAGACATGGTGGCTTGACCTCAAAGGTTGTGTCGTTACATACGTGCCAGTTGCCCCTCGTCTCAATCTCACTGCACATGTACTCCGGGGGTTTCTCCCAGTCCCTGTATATAGGAGGTACATTACCTCTAAATGCCACCATACACATCTGTTACATATAATACTGTAGGAAGGTAGTACAATTCATCTTCCAATTAGAGTAAATGAGAGAGTGAGCTAATAGTTACAAACCCTATATTACACTGGACAAAATATCATCCATTCCAAAAAATCCAAAACTTGGAAATACCACCATTCCAATTGGAAATATGACCATTCCAATATTTGGAAAGGTCATATTTCCAAGCTTGGATTTGTTTGGATTTAGTTGGAAATGTTTGGAAATGTTTGGATACAACATGTCATAATCATATCTGTTAAAAGTTGTACAACTTTTGACCTTATGTGATATAATCCTATTAGTAATGACATGAAAGTAAATAATTAAGAGTATTTTGGCACTATGTACCACGAAAAGACCAAATCAAGAGCAAATTTAACTAAAAGAAATTCTGTCATTTAAAGTGGCTACTCTTTATAGTATTACTTAATTTCTTATCTTCCTTGTCTATAATCATATGACATTGACTTTGAACTTTGAACAATTAAACAAATATTTTGTTTTCCCATACCGCCTTACGGTTGTCGTAGAACAAAGACCGTTTCGAGAATATAGAGGGCCTCATTATTATAATTTGAACTAATATACATATGTACATAATAGTACTAGGTATAAATGAATTTTGATAAGTGTTCGTACAAGAATATGAACTTCGAATTATCTCGGAATTATGCGCAACACATAGGGCTGAAAATTTTATAATTGTTCTGGAACTATCTGACGGTAATTCAAAACAGGGAACAAGATTTCGTCAAATGAATCATCTAGCCAGGAATGTAACGATTTAAATGCTGACAAAATGAATAAACGTATCTGGAACAGAGTAGACTGTTCATGTGGACAATTATATGCTACGTCTATTGCCAATGAAGTTTATCACCCCATGTTATAGCATTTGTTTCATATAAAAGATAGAAACCAAATAAATGGGACAATTAGTTGTTATGAATTAGCTTTACCTCTGTGACATATCACACAACTAAATGTGAATATGTTTATCAAATAATCAATTACAATAATTAACCTAGTGTCCTTATTTATACACAATTTAATTACGTATTGGGGTACAATATATAATACACATATACACGGAATGATTTCTTATTTTGTCAATTTAATCTTAACCCAAATCATACAAATCAAAGTGTGAAAGTAGTGACTAACTTTATGATCAAGGGTATAAATACTCAATTGTATCTATTAATCCTAATAGTATAACAATAAACCCTGTGTATATACTGAGCATATTTAGATACATCCGGATCTACGACCGCAGCCATATAATCAATCAAGGAAAGTATATTAGATTGAATTACAAATGTGCTATCACTTAAACAAAATTTTCCGTTATCCACGTAAGCCTAAACCTGGGAGAAATAAAGTTCTGTTCTGTTCTGAAGACGCCGTCATTATTAGTTGGCGCCAGTCTAGACTGTCCAATCAACGTGAATATACAAACCGTGATGTTACTTGACCAGTTGATGACACCTGTCAAACTCAAAGTGCCCCTGGTCCTCCACCCACCATGTGTAATACTTTAGCGTACTTGATTGTTTAATTTGCAGTTATATCACTGTTAGGCTGAGTGATGAGAGAATACATTTTGTTGTTTTTGTTAACGATCGTTTCCATTTTCAACGTGGTAACCTTATAAGTGACTAACTTTTTATCATGATGAAATGAAACATATTAAAATAATCAGAGGGACTGACGATCGCATTTTTCGCATAAATGTCATGCTCGCATTAATTTCATGATTTACTGAAGATAGATTTGAACATTTCTGAGCAACGATCATGTTTGGGTAAGGGAAGTAATCTTGTCTCCGCTTGCAATTGGATTGAGTTCCGAGATCGCAGCTTGACTGTTCGGTACGGCCGAAAGGCGGCATCCATGTTGGTCACGCTCCGCTGATCACGGGGCCTCATTTGTCTGTATTCTGCTTATGAGCCGGGATGCGCATGAAACACGGGTGTCAAAACGAATATATTTACCAATTATACGTACGGTCAATTAGCCAGTCCAAGAGACAATACCCTGGTTCTACCACCTTTAGGTGTAATTACGTCGCATGCCCCTGGTTCACGGTTCGTCTGATCTCCCGTCATAAAACCACGATGTTTATTTACCTGGAGCCTCCGACAGCGCCGACTTCCTGTGTACATGTACGTACATGGCAATAAATGGTTTGACAGTTGTTTGACGGAATCAATCAATAATTATTGACACGGTGATGTAATTAAAATTTGTCACTATTCACAACTCCTATTTTTCTTTTTATATTGTTCAGCTGTATTTTCAAACAGTTTTATATGTATAAAAAATCTTCTCTTGTATTTATAAACCAAACCTAAAAAACATTATATAAGAACAATTGTGTTTTTAAACCGTAAGTTTTCTATTAAAACAACCATGCAAGTAAGATTTCAGCCGTAATATTACTTTAGTCACTCCACAGATTACACATCTTATATGCTGCAAACGCAGCGAATGTAATGCTACTACGTCACAGCTGCCTCGGTAATTAAGGGCTGGAATGTTTTTGTGAAGGCAGTTAGAGCAGACGAATTTCCCCCCTCGCTGTATAAAGGCGGACGCTAACCATATATGTGTATTTTTACTGTTTTTGGCTTGATTTGATTGTCCTTTGGTGAAAACAAATGTTCAATTGTGAAAGCAAACCCTTTTCCCCTGAACGTTAAAAGACAGCTGACTTTGTTTTTGTCTGAAATATCAACGTTTGGAGTCGTTTATATATTCGGAAATCCATATTATGGTTAATATTTATAATATAATATGGACAATGGTAAAATTCATTATCACAGTTTAAGTGCTATTCACAAATGTATGTAAATCTACTTCGTGATGAATGAAGCATGGTAATAAATGTATGATTCTTCATTTGTTCTGTATTCTTTGACGAGAATGAGTTTCGTTAATGATGATCACTCTCACAGATTTTTTGATAAGAGGATAGGATTTTAACTGGGGAATAGTTATGAAAAATATATTTTTATAAGTATAGGCGGTCTGTGCACATGTGGTGAAACTGATACCTCATTGTTTTGCTAATCGGGACTTGGAAATCATAGTCTGTCATTAAATTGATTTTAAAATATATGGTTTTGACTGTAGTACGTCCTGACATCATAATATTATGTTGTAAACAACTTATCTTATCTTATGTTAAGTAAAACAATTATTGATAACTTCCTGAATTCCAATTGTTCAATGAACAGAATTATTCACAGCTCTGGCGTGAGACAACAATAAATTAGATGTTACCAAAGATTGTCCATTTTATGATCTTAGGCACATGTCGGCACACTTACATGTGAGCCGTCTAGACGACTGTCTGTTTTGTAATTAAATGGCAGCTGCCATCCAGCCCAATACTTAATCTTGAGACCTATTAGTTGTCTCATAATTAACCAAAACATAAGCCCAAGAAACCAAACTCTAGCTCGCAAACACCCCTTACTCACCCCAATATCCCAAAGAATAACTAACTACCTCAATGAACACCAAACTCAAAATCTTAAACAAAACTGCAAAAAATCAACTATCTTCACCCCTAAACTCAAAATACCCAAAATAGACACAATGCTAGCTAACCAAATAAATAAAAAAAACGACCCATACATAGCTAAAACCACCAATTTGGTATTCACTCGCTGGAACACAAATATTGGATATTTGCATTGTATTGTGATTTTGAGCATCCGGGTGCCTATATAACATGTAATATATTTCCGATTATAGTACTTGTTGTTCATGCATATGTTCTAGCAATAAGAAATTTGATAAATATTCGTTTTGCTTTATTTATACTTTGAAAAACTTCGTTGGCGCTCAGAACGCTTGGCGCTGTCTAATTCAGCACACGCATGGTTGGGTTCAAACCAAATTATGTTTATTTGTTATAATTTAAACCACCAGCGGCGGTACATGAGCATATATATAATGTCATACAATACAGAATAGTTGATCAAGATGGCAGTTTCCCTTTAAAGATTATGTATTTCTAAAGATTTGTACAATATATCTTGATAACTGTTTTTAATCTTTGATCTTTTGTGAAAATAATAGTGGAAATGGTTGAGTACATGAACTGGTTTAGTGACATATTTCACATTAAAAGTGGCGTGATTTACATCGTTAAAATATAAAAGAATCTACACAGTGATACAACTATAAATGGTTGTGATTTATTTAAGAACGAAGTCAGTAATTGGGAATTTAACTTGCTCTTTCCGACATTATGCGTATTTCGCACACAGTTAAGAACGAAGTGTAATTCATTTATTCATACCAAGTACGAAAGCATCAATCCGCCCGCGTTGTAGAAGAAGAAGAAGAAGAAGAAGAAGAAGAAAATTATTTTATTTTCGTGTCACACACTGTACAGCAGTGACAATAAAAATACATAAATAGTGTGTACAGTGTCCGGCCATTATGGCCTACGAGACACGCAGGACGTCACATACATATAAGTAAAAATGAGAAATATCACAGCACATACATATACATAAAAATGAGTTATCACCAGTTATCACAGTACATACATATACATAAAAATGAGTTATCACCAGTTATCACCGGTTATCGCCAGTTATCAGAACATTCTGATACTAAGATACATGGAACTAGGCTGGTAGAGACGAAAGACACAGTTGTCTTCGCTCATACATGTGGTGAAGAAGCGCGGCTAGGGGTCTGACCACCTTATTGTTCCGCATAAAGAACACGGTCTGGTCGGCAGCGGACATCTGTATAAAGTTTGGATTTGATTGAGAAGCTAAATTCCATAAATCATAGCGTAAATCTGTATAGAGAGAACATTCAGCAAAAAAGTGTATTTCATCCTCAACAGCATTGCAATTACAGAATTTACACATACGTTCAATAAGCGGTGTTTTCGGGCGGGTGAATCTTCCTAATTCT